CGCCGGCCTGATCACCCCCAATTGCCCTCCTCTCCTGGCCTGATCGCTCCTAACCATCTCTGCCTCAGCCCCGCCACCATGGCTTTGTCCAGAAGGATGTCCGGAAGTCCTCCCGGTCTAATTAGCACATTACCCTTTTATTAGTATAGATATAGATAATATATGTTACTTATGATAACACATAATAATTTATTATTGTAATTTTAGATAAAATATTTTTAAAATGCTTCAGTTTTAATTTCTAATATGGTAAGTAATGATAAATATAATTCACATAAACAAAAGCTATTTGAGTCTCAATAATTTGAGAGTATAGGTCCTAGTCAGTTAGCTCAATTGGTTAGAGCACTATCCATATATCTCAAGGTTGTGGGCTTGATCCCTGGTCAGGGCACATAAGAATCAATCAATCAATGCATAAACAAGTGGAACAACAAATCAATGTTTCTCTCTCTCTCTAAAAATCAATCATTTTTTTAAAATTAGGAGTAAAAAGTTTTAAATACCACTAAATGTGTAAAGCCTTTAAAGAAACTGCAGTAATATATTAAAGGACTGATTATATTTTATTATAAAAAATCAGCAACAAAAAGTACTGATGCACAGAACAATCTGAATGAATCTCTAGAGAATTATGTTGAATGAGAAAAGTCCAATCCCAGAAGTTTACATACTCTGATTCCATCCACATACATTGTTTTTAAATTTTTATTTTTCACTTACATTTTACATTCAATATTATTTTGTATTAGTGTCAGGGGTATAGCACAGTGGTTAGACATTCATATACTTTACAAAGTGATCCTCCCAATATTTCAAATACACACCTGGCACCATACATATAATTAAAATATTATTGACTATATATTACTGTACTTTACTCCCCCGTGACTATTTTGTAACCACCAATTTGTACTTCTTAATTCCTTCACCTTTTTCACCCAGTTCTCCAACTTCCCTCCCCTCTTGGCAACCATCAACCAGTCTGTTCTCTGCAACTATGTGCCTGTTTCTAGTTTGTTTGAAATGACAAAATTACAGAAATGGAGAACAGGCTAGTGTTGCTGTGGGAGGTGGAGAAAGCTAACGTGGGAGGGAGAGTGGGTGTAGCTGGAAAAGGGCAACAGGAGGGATCTTGTGGTGATGGAAATGTTCTGTATCTTGACTGTATCAATGTCAATATCATGGTTGTGATTTTGTAGTACAGTTTTGCAATGTTACCACTGGGGAAACTGGGGAAAGGTAACTGGGATCTCTCTGTATTATTTCTTACAGCTGCATGTTGAGTCTACAATTGTCTCAACATTTAAAAATTAATACTTAAAAAGTTATGAAAGAGAAATGAACAGAATATAACATGATTATATAAAAAATCTAGAAGCTATAAATTCTGCCTAGTAAGCTGATTCATGATATCTTCAGACTACTAATATTTTTGATATCTTAAGAATAAAAACTATTCCATAAAGCACCCATTATAATTGTTAATTTATTATAGTCCTACAACATGTCAGATGCTAGGTAAAGAGGATATAAAATGAACAGGAACCTACCCTCAAGGTGTGCACAGGGTAGTAGGGCTGACTGAATGGCAAAATGCTCAGAATGCAATTTGGAATGTGCAACAAAAGAAATACAAGGTTGAATGGGAGCATAACTTCATAGGAGTCAGGTAAGCTGCATGGAAAGTTGACAACTGAGCAGAATCCCTAAAGGGTAAAGAAGTTGTTGCAGGCAGAAAATAGAGAAGAAAATGCAAAATACACGGCAGGATTTTAAACAAGAGATTATTATATTTGTGTTTTATAAAGATATCTTATAATAGTTTGGAGGAGACAGCTGGAAGCTACTGTGTTAATCCAAAGAAAAACAGGGCATGTGAGATCTAAGGAAACAGTAGGGACAGAGAGAAGGAAACAATTAAAAGTGATGTTTTGGAGGGAGAATAGGACTTGCTGACCTAGAAGAGGGGTACCCAAACATTTTCTGTAAAGGATCAGAGAGTAAATACTTAGGCTTTGCAGGCCATATAGGGTCTCTGTCATAAATAAATATAAATTAAAAAATACACACACACACACACACACACACACACACACACACACACACACAGTATATATGCTTGTTTTAAATAACCACTCAAAAATGTAAAACCCATTCTTGGCTCATCTCAACTCATAGGTCTCTGGTCAGATTTGACCCAGTAGCTACAGCTTGCTGACCCCTGACCTAGGGGATAAGCAATAAAGAAGGAAGAGCCTGAGATGACATCCAGGTTTATGGCCTAACCTAGTGGATAGGCCGAGGTACCATTTACAAAGACTGAACACAGAATAAAGGCAACGGTTCTGAGATGTTGTTGAGAGGATGGTGAAAGAAGCAAGTCTAGTTTTAGATGGCCCTGGTGGAACTGTAAAATAGAGTGTTGGATATATAAAAATGGAGCTCAGAACAGAGCTCTGAGTAGGAGACAGAGATTTGGAAATCATCAGGATACAAAACAGTTAAAACTGTGTAAGTGGCTGACAGCCAAGGTGAGTGTCAAGTGAAAAAAAAGTTGGCTACAAACATGGGAAACACTAAGGTTGGAGGATGTGGGAGAGAGAAAGAAAGGAGTCTGTGAAGAAAACTAACAAAGAGGAAAGAGAGAGGCAGGTATGTTTTAAAATGCTAACGGACAGCAGAAAACCAGGTTGTGGGCCTTCATTTATTGCCCAGGAAAAAAATGCAAAAGCACAGATGTTCCAAAAGGACAGACAATCCCCATGATTCTGACTATAATTTCCAAGAGGCCAATTGTTATAAGGTCTCTTTCCCGAAACAAAGGTTTATTCCTCGGCCAAGTTATGCTACTGTTTCCTAACCTGACACCAGCCTACTCTCCTAAACCATGCATGGGAGTAGGAGCCAAGTGCTAGAGGAGAATGTTTATTAACCTCACTTCTGAAGTCTCCTTCCATGAATGGAGGTCCAGTTGTAACATCTCTGGCATTTCTTTGCCACTGAGATGATTCTATTTTGGGAAGAGAAGCAACTGATCTGGTGGGAAATTTTGGGAAAAATAAACAGTCCAGCCATGCTCTTTTTCCTTATACGAGTGAGCTTGCCAGTAGGAGGTGGGATGGGTGAAGGGTTTGTATACCACATATGCCTTCTCCAATCCAAGGCAATCCTACTATGACTAAGGCATAGGTCTGCCTAATTTTGGAATTCAGTAAGCAAGCCAATTTGGCTCTAATACTAAATTGCTTCCTTTACCTTAGCCTTTATCAATAATAAAGGTAATATCATGCCCTATCTGCTAAACCTTTAGGGTTTTTTCAATTTATTCAAAACCTGGATTGGGTAAAAAGGTACTATTTATCTCTTTCCCCTCCCTTCTAGATGATAACATCAGGTGTAGATAAATAACAATCTAACTTTAGATTAATCTAATTAATCTAATGTGATCCTAGTAAATTCAAGACTTAAAAAGAGGTTACATAAGCTCCCCATCTTTCTTTTAGATGGAGTTTCTTAGGTATTTTAATAATGAGAATGTTGTACCTCACATTTGTTTATAACATGAAGCAGGCAAGAGACTACCACCACAAGAGATATAATTACAGCTGAAATTAATTTCAAACATTTCATCCACTTTCAGATTGCAAGATTTTTGGAAAAACTTCCAAGAACTCTTAATATCATCAAACACAGTCAAGGAAATCATAGCACCATTCTATTCTTAAGAAAAACACATCTCCAAATGTCCTCCAAGTACTTAAATATAATCATAAATATTTATCTCTGATATTTTTAAAATACTTGAGAAGACAAATTATTTGAATAAGTAGATTTAGTAATTTCATGCAAAAATACTGCCCACACTACTTATTCTACTACACTGTACCATTTTTAGTCTCAGGAAGGAAAAACACACATTCTGTAGAAAAAGGAAGCAATCAAAATTGGAAAATGTTTAAAGAATGCCTCCCATCTGGGTTCTACCCATTTGAACTATGACCACATGGGACTCTATTAGAAAAATAAAATTGGTCCGGCCAGTGTGGCTCAGTGGTTGAACACTGACCCATGCACCAGGAGGTTACCGGCTTGATTCCTGGTCAGGGCACATGCCCGGGTTTTGAGCTTGATCCCTGGTGGGGGGCATGCAGGAGGCAGCCAATTGATGTTGATTCTCTCCCACTGATGTTTCTATATCTCTCTCCCTCTCCCTTCCTCTCTCTCTAAAAAAAAAAAAAAAATCAATAAAAGCATTTTTTATAGGAGTTTTTATATTTTTTATTGATTTCAGAGAGGAAGGGAGAGGGAGAGAAAGATAGAAGCATCAATGATGAGCAAGAATCATTGATCGCTGCTTCCTGCTTATGCCCTGACTGGGAATCGAACCCTGACCCGCATTCATAGTGCGATACTCAGCCACTGAGCCACGCCAGCCGGGCTAAAAACATTTTTTTTTAAGAAAAAAATAAAATAAAATTGCCCTGAAATAGTATGACAAGTGATTAGTCCTACAATGGGCTTCTCCACCAATCATGGTAGATACTGTCCAGAGCTAAGGACACATCTCTACTGCTTCTAACACCTACCACACATTAAGGATAAGGTTCTGCAGATTATGGTGTAACGACC